TCCCCTCCAGTTCCTTATTAACTTAGCTAGTCCCCTCCAGTCCCCTCTAAACTCAGCTAGTCACCTCCAGTCCCTTCTAAACTCAGCTAGTCCCCTCCAGTCCCCTCTAAACTCAGCTAGTCCCCTCCAGTCCCCTCTAAACTCAGCTAGTCTCCTCCAGTCCCCTCAAAACTTAGCTAGTCCCTTCCAATTCCCTGTAAACTCAGCTAGTCCCCTCCAGTTCCGTTTTCACTTAACTAGTCCCTTCCAGTCCCCTCTAAACTCAGCTAGTTCCCTCTTGTCCCTTACCGTCTTATTTAGTCCCCCTAGTCTCATCAAGTTTCTTCCAAAGGCTCATCTAGTCCCCTCCAGCTGCAGTCCCTTGTAGTCCTATGCAGCCCCCCTGCCCCCCTCCTCCTCCTCACTCTCCTCTCCCCTGTATTCAGCTGCAGTCCCTTGTAGTCTTTTGCAGCCCCCCTGCCCCACCTCCTCACTCTCATCTCCCCTGTATTTCTTAATCTTAAGATTGTGTACTCGAAACTACAGTTTACTAAGGTTAATCTTGGCACCCGAGGTTACATATAACTTCCTTAACACCTCCCTCTCAATTCACGGCATGGGGGCCTTACCAACCTTCTTAAGTTCTTATATCCTGACAGGGGTAGTACCCATACTTTTATATCCAGGCGGGGGAGTACCTGTGGATTAGAAAGTCACCTGTCTCCTTCAGGGAAATTCAGTAATATATCTGAGAGTGAACTCTTTGTAAAATTGTTTCTGCATAATTGTCTATTTAATGTGTTTGTGAACAAAAATATAGAAAACTTTTAAAACTTTCAAAACTAAAGTTTAAAAACTAAAATTAAATAAGTTTTTCAAAATAAAAATGGGAAAGAAGGATTGTTTTATATAAATAGAAATCCATAATCGCAAATAATTAAAAAATATACAATCATAGATATAGCTCTGATGATTTAAAACGAACGGTTTTGTTAAAAATTTGAAAAGTTTGTTAATGAAGCCTGAAGGTAAATATTTGATAATATTTATGGGTTTAGTTTCCACCTTTTCCCTTATAAATAGTGTCTCCCTTTCAATCTTTTTATCCTAATTCTTTTCATGCTTCCCGCCAAACATATTTATCAAGTTCAACTCCACGAGGTGGAAAGCTAAACGTTCTTTTATATAAACTGCCATTTTAATATCATTCATTTCCTCTCCTTTCTTCCTTTCCTTCTCCTTTCCTTCTCCTTTCCTTCTCCCTTTCTTTCCTTCTCCCTTTCTTTCCTTCTCCATTCCTTCTCCCTTTCTTACCTTCTCCATTTCTTCTCCCTTTCTTTCCTTTTCCCTTTCTTCTCCATTCCTTCTCCCTTTCTTTCCTTCTCCCTTTCTTTCCTTCTCCCTTTCTTTCCTTCTCCATTCCTTCTCCCTTTCTTTATTTCTCCCTTTCTTTCCTTCTCCCTTTCTTTCCTTCTCCCTTTCTTTCCTATTCACTTTCTTTCCTTCTCCTTTTCTTTCTTCACCTTTCATCTCATTTTCTTTTTTTCTTTCCATTTCACTTCTCTTCCTTTCCTTATCCTTCTTTTTAATTTCTTTTTTATTTTAATTTTCCTTTTCTTATGTTCACATTCTCTTATCTTTTTCTTTCTTCCTTCTCCTTCCTTCTCTGTTCCATTTCTTTAAATCTCTTTTCCGTTTTTCTACTTTCCTTTCTTCTTGCACTCGACAACCTCGTTGGGTAGAAACAAAAAAAAGCAAAAAATTTTTATTTTTTACTTTCATTAAATTTTACATTGAAAGCATGGCTAAGAATTACTATTAGACTCGATAAAGGTTGTAATAACTATGCAACATTGAGCGGTGATCGGAAATTACCAAAAACTTTAGTTGTAAGATAAAACTATTTCTAGAAATAAACTGATTTCTTTCATTTCCTTTCATTGCAGATATTGGTTTTATTCATTAATGTAAAGAATAAAATGATAAAGGAAAAATTCAGGGCGATGGGGGATGATAGTGGGGTGCCTTTGTTTGCATGTATCATCATTATTCAAAAGATAGATTGGCAATAACGGTTTGCGCGTCTGGCCATGGCAAAAGCTATTTATTTTTCAGCAACAGAGACATATAATTATATTATTATATATTTTTTTTACCTTTAATATCAAGCGTTGAAAACATTGTGTCGAGTTGAAAATGCTGTGTCAGTTTACTGTCTAAATATGCATTAAACAATATATATAATAAACCAAACTTATCTATACTGAACCAAATTTAGGCCATTCATACCAATTACCAAACTTAAACTGTCATACAAAACCTTACTTAGACTATTCTTATCGAACATATAACTTAGGCTATTAATACCAAACCAAATTTAGACTATTCATATCAAACCTAACTTAGGCTATTCATACCAAATCAAACTTAGGCTATTCATACCAACCCAAATTAGGACTCTTTATACCAAAAAAACATAGGCTATTCATACAAAACCAAACTTAGGCTATTCATATCAAACCTAACTTATACCATTTATACCGAACCAAACTATCCATGTAATAAATATTGGGTAAACATGATATTCTGTAAATTTGAAGTACGTTGTACATTATTAACTATCTACGTTTGTAAACTTCTATGTAATGATATCGAAAGTAGTACTAGAGAAAGAGTACATGACTTCATTGAAAGATCTCCCAAATATGATGGAAATCCAGAGAAAATGTTCGAATGGTGCGAAAAAAGGATGATGGTATCATGTATCATGGGAGCAGCTAGAAGAGAGATAATACCGTGTTTTGCAGCTGGGAGCAGAATTTGAAAAATGTTCTTTGTAGAAATGAAGATTCTCACAAAAAAATATGATAAGAGCAAGAGACAGGAATACTTAGACAAGAAACAGACAGAAGAGGAGGAGACCAGAAGAGCTCATGAAGTCAAATGGAAACAGAAACAGGAATACCTAGACAAGAAACAGAGAGAAGAGGAGGAGACCAGAAGAGCTAATGAAGTCAGGAGGAAACAGAAACAGGAATACCTGGACAGGAAACAGGAAAGTGGTGAAGATACCAAAGAATATTATGCTGCCAAGAAACAGTTATGGTTACAAGTAAACAAGAGGAACCTGGTTGAATTTAAGGATGAAATGCTCAAAAGACTGTACAATGAGGAATTGAAGGAAACATGCCTGTTTTTCATGCCTAAGGAACCAAAACAGAAAAGAGAGATTAAGGCAGTGCTAGACCGACAGTTATCTCCTGATAGACATGAGTTAAAAACTACGTATATCAATGTTGGAAACAAGGAACAGCAACATAAATAGTTATAAGACGACAGAAACCTGCTCCCTGCTCCCTACAGGATATTGATGAGAAGACTTGTCATCTGTCCTACTGTTATCGTTTCCTACAGTTTTACATTTTTCTTCATGCTTACAGTACTGTGCCGTTATAAACTAAATACTGTGCCGTTATAAACTGTATACTGTGCCCTAATAAACTATCTACTATGCCGTTATCAACTATATACTGTGTCGTTTTAAACAATAAACTGTGCCGCTATAAAATATAAACTTTGCCGTTATAAACTATAAACTGTGCCGTTTTCTACTATAAACTGTGCTGTTACAAACTAAATACTGTGCCGTTATAAACTATAAACTGTACATTACCGTTTATATAAATGTAGAATAGACACTTCAGTAAATTACCGTTTATATAAATGTAGAATAGACACTTCAGTACATTACCGTTTATATAAATGTAGAGTAAATACTGCAGTATACCACCGTTTATATACTTTAGAGTAAGTACTGCAGTACATTACCGTTTATATAAATGTAGAATAGACACTTCAGTACATTACCGTTTATAAAATATTTTGCTTTTAGACTCAAAGTAGTCATAATATATAAACCATTGTTTTCAGCTATATTTGTCATTAATGCGATTGTCAATCAGAACTGTGTACATTGTACAATGTATGTACATGTATTAAAGATGGCGATACAAAATAATGCACATGCATCTAAGGAAGGTTACCAGCAAAGAATGATACCTAAGAGACGACTGTCTGGTTTCTTGTATTCATGGTTTCCTGAAGCTCTGAACTCATGTTTTGTGGATAACTCTGTTTAAAGAGACAAACCGGCTATGTAAGGAAATTAAACTGAGTATGCAGTGTTGTGGACAAACTCTTTAGGATTCATTTAAGAGATATATAAAACGTTTCCACGATGTATAATTACTGAGTTTGAGTGCAAAGTCGAAGTTCAAAACCATAAACTTGGGTGGGTACGTTTTCAAAATCGATATTTTTAATTATTAAATAACGATGACAAAAAATGAAGTTAAAAATTATTCAGTAAACTAATTAGATGGTTTGGAACATATTTCTCAAAAGAAATTTGTTAATAAATCAATGCAAGAATCAATTATTTCGTTATATTAAATTTCTTAATTTCTTTGAATTTATTCGCAGATTTCTACAAATTCTTCAAATGTCGTCGTTTCAATAAAAATTCCAGAAAATCTGCAGAAAATCTTTGTGAATAATTGAGAGATTATAGAAACTAATAATTGAAAAAGATTACTTATTTTCGATGGTTAATTTTTATTTTCTCAACCTGTTCCTAAACAACTAATTAGTTTACTGTAGAATTTTGTTTACTTTTTTTATCGTCGTTATTTAATTATTAAAAAAAACAGTTCTGAAAACGTATCCACCCAAAAGTACAATTTTGAACGTCGACTGCAGCGCTCAAACTCAGGATTTATAGATCTTAAAAAAGTTTTATATGTCTCAAATGAATCCTAAAGATTTGTTCCACAACACTGCATACTCAGTTCAACTATACCTTACATAGCCGGCTGTCCCTTAAAGGATATGTTACAATGTATAAAAGAGTAAATTTGTCCCCTCCTGAGTGTAAACCTAACCCTGGGGTAGAGCGTATACGCTGATATTCCGAGGACGGTTTCAGGAAATATTTGAGGACGGGTCCAGCATCAGGTTTCATCTCAGTTTATCCAGCCTACCCGGAGCACATACATACCCAACCTTGGAGCTAAACCAGGACTGATATATCTTGTAGGTTAATTCCCATTACCCATGCTTAGTTGAACAGCTTAGATCCTCGTCAACTCCAGGTACAAAATACATCAAATGTTGCATTTTAATAAATTTATTTAAGTTGAATGCGTTATTTATATTTTTTATTATATGCATAAATATAAAATAAAAATGTGAAGAGTGCCTCCATAGGGAGGGGGGGGGGGGGTACTTTTACTCTTAATAATTTCTTTCTACAAACATCATATTTACAAATTTAAGAAATATCAAAATAAGACTGTTGTAAAATCTTAGAAATTGAAAATATTTGGTGAAGTGATTGCGCTATGTTTTAATTTTTATTTTTGCAAATTTTTAGTCCAATTACAACTATGAGTAAGTTAATATTATTTTGATAAAACATAATAACCATTTTCAACTGGATACTGATCACCGAGTTACACATTAGTCTAATTTAAAATAATAAACCATATTCTTCAAATATACAATGACAGCTAAACATACAATTTTACTTCGTCAACGAGATATTTTCTGAATATTCTCTGCAGTCCCATCAANTATCTATCTATCTATCTTAAATACATACAATTCTTAGATCTATCTATTCATCTATTTATCTATCTATATATCTATCTATTTATTTATCTGTCTGTCTGTCTGTCTGTCTATCTATCTATCTATCTATCTATCTATCTATTCATCTATCTATCTATCTATCTATCTAGCAAACTATCTATCTATCTATCTATCTATCTATCTATCTATCTATCTATCATGTATCTATGTATCTATCTATATCTAGAGGGTTATCCTTCTAAAGAGTACGAGGTTTCAGAGACGACTGTACGGAATTTATATACATACTACTTTCCTCTCGTTACAAAATCATTAATTAAGCCATTTAAAGACTTTATGTATTATGTAAGGCAAAAGACTTATCTAACCTTGGGATGGTTATGTTATGTGAGGAGTTTCTGGTCATCCTTACAATATCTTTCTTTCTGGGTTACCCTGTATATGTAATGTATTTATAATTCCAACTTATGTTTGTTTAAAATTATGATTATGAACAGAATGCTATTGCTAGCTAACAAATTGTTGAATACTCAACATTTAAAAGTCGTCATTTTCTTCCAATATTCATTAGAACACCCTGTTCCTAAACTTAGAACAACTCTCTTTATTTGATTCCGAACTCTGTCTTTTTTTAAAGTTTTCTTGTTAACCTGTTTCTTATGGCGTAAAGTTGTATAAAACCTCTCGCAGTCTGTTTGTTTGTCGAAAATACTTGTTCCTTTCTTTTTGCTATTAAAGAATCAGCTGTTTAAGGGGGTATTTCAGGTTTTAGCGGGTTTTTCAGGTTTCAGGCGGTCTTTCATGATGTAAGAGGGTTTTTCAGGGATCAAGGGTTAATTCAGGGTTTAGTTTTTATTACAGGGTTTGGGGTTATTTCATCGTTCAGGGGGAATTTCATGGTTTGGTGGGTACTTCATGGTGTAGTGGGTATTTCAGGGTTTAGGGGTTAATTCAGGGTTTAGGGGCTAATTCAGGGTTTAGGGGTTAATTCAGGGTGTACCTGGAGAGAGGATTATTTTAAGGTGGTTGAGGTATTTATGCATTTTAGGATATAAGCGGTATACTTTAGGGAGCAGTACTGTAGAGATGTTATTTAGGGTTTGGTGGTTATAGCTAAGCGTTTAAAGGGAGTGACCTGCTATGTACGGTAGTTGAACTGAGTATGCAGTGTTGTGGAAAACTTATTTAGAATTCATTTGAGACATATTAAACTTTTTAAAGGTCTGAAAATCCTGAGTTTGAGCGCAAATTCGACGTCCAAAACTCCTACTTTAGGGGTGGATACGTTTTCAGAATTAGTTTTTTATTATTATTAAATAACGACAACGAAAAGTAAAGTAAAAATTATACAGTAATCTAATTAGATGGTTAGGAACATGTTTCTCAAATGAAATTTGTGAATAAATCAATGCTAAAATCAATTATTTCGTTTTCATTATTAGATTGAATTTTTCTTCAAATGTCGTCTTTTCAACAACAATTTAAAATAAAACTAATTCTGAAAACGTATCCACCCAAAAAGTAGAAGTTTTGAACGTCGAATCTGCGCTTAAACTCAGGATTTAAAGATCTTTAAAAAGTATGTCTGAAATGAATCCGAAATAAGTTTTCCAAAACACTGCATTCCCAGTTCAACTACCTTACATAGCCGGTCACTCCCTTTAAGGAGGTAGTTCAGTAAACAGGAGGTATTTTAGGATATTAGGCGGTATACTTTAGGGAGCAGTACTGTAGAGGTGTTATTTAGGGTTAGGGGGTAGCTAAGCGTTTAAGGAGGTAGTTTAGTAAACAGGAGGTATTTTAGGATATTTGCGATAAACTTTAGGGAGCAGCAGTACTGTAGAGGTGTTATTTAGGGTTTGGGGGTAGCTAAGCGTATAAGGAGATAGTTCAGTAAACAGGAGGTATTTTAGGGTGACCCTTTAGGAGTTATTTTAGGGTTTAGGGGTTATTCTAGGGTGTTGTTTTTTGTATAAATTATCTTATAGGGTTTAGAGGCTATTTTATTGTCAAGGAGGTATTTTAGGGTGTAATAGGTAGTTTTGGGTAGGACGGTATTTTAGAGTGTAGGTGGTTATTTTTGGGCTTAAGGGGTTAGTTTTAGATGTTATTCCGTATCTTTAGTACAAGTCTTATGTTGATTTAGATTGGCTTCAATAAAAATCTGGGGGTCTCCAATGAATATATAGAGGTCTCCGATAAACATCTGGGGGTCCCCAATGCATATATAGAGGTCTCCGATAAACATCTGGGGGTCCCCAATGTGAATCTTGAGTCTCCAATGAAAACCTGTGGTCAGGGATGAAAAGCTTGGGGTCTCCAATGAAAAAATTTGGGGTCTCAAATGAAAATCATGGGGTCTCTAATGAAAATCCTGGAGTCTCCAATGAAAATATGGGGTCTCGGATGAACAGCCATAATGATGTTTTCTTCACAGACTGTAATAAAGGGGCGAAATTTGATTAAATAATCTTTTTTTCAGATTCAAACTGATCAGTTTCTACCAGTGAATGTTGGAGAAGAAAGAAGAGAAATTAGATTATAGAAAATGAGAGGAATATATGGAAAATATTACAAACATGAACCATCAATATCAGAATAGGTTTTTTGTGTCTCCAGTAATTGCTGTAATGGACTCCTCAGTTCTCGGAGAGAAAAATAGTTTTTCATAAATCTGTCAAACCTGCATTAAGTATAAAAAAAAGAAAAACTACAACTACAAAATTGAAAAAAGCAATTTTATCCGAGTGTAAAATCTTAAATATCGTTTTGTGTACTGTAAAATCTCGCATGTAGGTCAAATCCTTCACGAACCTATCCCATAGTGATCAATCTTTGCAGTAAAATATTACCGCCTGTTCAAATTGCAGTTACCTCACGTACCTGGTGGCAAACTCATTCACTTAGAACCAACTTGACGAACCATCCTTGGACCTTGAACCTGGTCCACCTGGTGGCCAACTCATTCACTAAGAACCCACTTGGCGAACCATCCTTGAACTAAAATGTCCCAGCTCTGTTTCCCGTACAGTACCGGCATAACCTGCGTCTGTGACGCTTCCAACCGAATTTTCCGATGTTTTCCTGAACTTTCCAAAAAAGTAAATCATTTCTTTCATTTTAGGAATAATAGATTTTGTTGACAGTTGATTAGATTGAAGATGATATTATTGGCTGAATGAAGAATGGTTGATCTGCCAGCCAGTCAACCAACCATCAAACCAATATCATGTTAACGTCATTTTATTTAGAGCTTACTGCTCACTTAAATCTTTGATTACAAATATGTAGGGAGCAGAGATATCGCAATAATTTAGCAATATGCTTTCTTTCATTATTACGATTCTAAATTGTAATGTGTACCTTTACCTTCAAATTCTAAATTGTTGAGTGTACCTTTAACTTCAATTCTAAATTGTAGTGTGTACCTTTAACTTCAATTCTAAATTGTATTGTGTACCTTTAACATCAATTCTTAATTGTAATGTGTACCTTTAATTTCAATTCTTAATTCTAGTGTGCACCTTAAATTTCAATTCTAAATTAAAATGTGTACCTTTAACTTCAATTCTAAATTGTAATGTGTACCTTTAAAATCAATTCTAAATTGTAATGTGTACCTTTAATTTAAATTTTAAATTGTAATGCGTACCTTTAACATCAATTCTAAATTGTAGTGTGTACCTTTAATTTCAAGTCTAAATTGTAATATGTACCTTTAACTATCAATTCTAAATTGTAATGTGTACCTTTAATTTAAATTTTAAATTGTAATGCGTACCTTTAACATCAATTCTAAATTGTAGTGTGTACCTTTAATTTCAAGTCTAAATTGTAATATGTACCTTTAACTTCAATTCTAAATTGTAGTGTTTACCTTTAATATTAATTTGTGATTTAGGTTGAAGAAACTAAAAACTCGGAATCCCCACTTTATCAAAAGTTTTGTGATATACTCAGTATCTTTAACGGAAGGTAAACAGTATACTTAGTATCTTTAACGGAAGGTAAACAGTATACTCAGTATCTTTAACGGAAGGTAAACAGTATACTTAGTATCTTCAAGGGAAGGTAAACAGTATACTCAGTATCTTTAACGGAAGGTAAACAGTATACTCAGTATCTTTAACGAAAGGTAAACAGTATACTTAGTATCTTCAAGGGAAGGTAAACAGTATACTCAGTATCTTCAGAGAAGGTAAACAGTATACTCAGTATCTTTAACGGAAGGTAAACAGTATACTCAGTATCTTTATCGGAAGGTAAACAGTATACTCAGTATCTTCAAGGGAAGGTAAACAGTATACTCAGTATCTTCAACGGAAGGTAAACAGTATACTCAGTATCTTTAACGGGAGGTAAACAGTATACTCAGTATTTTTATCGAAAGGTAAACAGTATACTCAGTATCTTCAAGGGAAGGTAAACAGTATACTCAGTATCTTTAACGGAAGGTAAACAGTATACTCAGTATCTTTAACGGAAGGTAAACAGTATACTCAGTATCTTCAAGAGAAGGTAAACAGTATACTCAGTATATTTAACGGAAGGTAAACAGTATACTCAGTATCTTTAACAGAAGGTAAACATATACTCAGTATCTCTAACGGAAGGTAAACAGTAGAAAATACTTATTTCATTATTCCCAAAGTAATTAGTACATTTTTCCCAATTATACATTTTCCCATCCCCAAATAAAAATATTTCCAAATATGCATTTTTACGAATGTACATTTTTCCAAATTTATATTTTTCTCCAAATATGTATACAGTGCTAGTAATAACCAGATAACTCTGAAATAGGAAGACGACTTTTAAGTGAAGTTAAGAATATATATATATATCCTTGTACCAAACTAACATGATTAGGTTCCTTGTAATCAATAGTACTAGGGGAATCCCTCCTAACTGTAATCTAATATCAACTAAATTCTTTTGGTCTCTTAATTGGTTAGATTAGGAGAATAGGGAACTTTTCACAGTTTTAGTGATGAGATAGTAAAATAGAATAAAAGATAGTTCTTATTTTAACCCTATTCCTGCTGGGGGGGGGGGTCAATTTGACCCCCTTCGTAGTTTTTTTTACATAACTCAAAAAGTATTGGTCTGAGGCTGTTGAAATTTTCTGACTTTTTCTACATACCCAAAGCCCTCCCTTTAGGCCTAAAACCGGGCTTTAATACTAACTCCCTGAGTCCTCAGACACACTGCCTGAATGACTGTTTTTTCTTGTAACAAACTAAATCTTTGTTTTGACCCACTTCCACTTGTCAGATTTTGATAATATTTAGCTTTTTGGAAAGCCTATGACATAAGGAAAAGAATTGCACAAGTTTTGCGAAATTATTTTTTTCAAACAACCTGTCAAAGGAAATTTGCACTTTGATTTGGTCATCTTCCTTAAATATAGTCTTAAAAATCGATAACTTTATCATTTAGCACAGAAATAAAACAAATCTATAATTGGAGAAATTTCACCCTTAAATACAAAATTCTGCAGAATACCCTCAAATATAAAATCATACAGAACACTCAAATATAAAATTCTGCCGAACACTCTCAAATATAAAATTCTGCAGAACACTCTCTAATATGAAATTCTGTAGAATACTCTCAAATATAAAATTCAGCAGAACACTCTCAAATATAAAGTTCTGTAGAACAATATTATAAATATGAAATTCTGCAGAACACTCTCAAATATAAAATTCTGCAGAACACTCTCAAATATAAAATTCTGTAGAACACTCTCAAGTATAAAATTCTGCAGAACACTCTCAAATATAAGGTTCTGCAGAACAATATTATAAATATGAAATTCTGCAGAACACTCTCAAATATGAAATTCTGTAGAATACCCTCAAATATAAAATTCTGCAAAGCAATATTATAAATATAGAATTAAATAAAATAAAAAAATCTGCCAAAAATTAGCCGAATGAGAATTGGGCAGCACACAATTTAAACAAAACTCTACAAAACAATATTTTCAATTTTTAGCAGATTTAGCAGAACACCCTTTTCCGATCACCCTTTGAACCCTGTACTCTGTAGAACACTTGAAATGCCCATTTTGCATAAAAGCAGTTGATTACTTTTACAAATAGAGTTTAAATGTTTAAATGTTCCATTTTGTTGAACCAATAGTTTCTAGCTTTTAGAACATTTTCATTTTCTTTTTTACTTTTTTATTTTAGCAAAGAGAGTTATTAGTCTTTTGTGCTTCAGATCAAACATCTATTATTTATTAATATTTTATTTCATTTTTAATTAAATTTATTTTAAAAAATTTGGATTTAATATCTAGCAACATTAGGATGTAAAAACTAAAAAGTTATATTCTAATAAAAATGTTTTGCGTAATCTCAAGAATTATTTGTATCACTAAAAGTGGTAAATTTAGCGAAAATAGTTTAATATTAAGCTGAGAGCAAACCCTGACTTGCATTTTGTGTTTTTATTACATGACGCCCATTGAGAAAATTGCATATTTAATTTTTATTGAACAAAAATCATAATATTATTCATTTAATTTTTCAGGAAATTTTTTATCGATTTTTACTAATTTTAAGTTTTAAGATTAAAGTTTGCAAATACAAAATGTTGAAAAAATTGTTTAAAAATCTAACGAAGATTTAAAAAACTGAATTTTTTTGAAATTTTTGTCTGTCTTCACGAAAAAGACAAAACATTAACTGACCAAAATTTTAAAAAAAATATCTTGTATGTTCATATTGTATATGTACAATTATAAACAGAAAGCATGTGGAAAAGGAAGACGACTTTAAAGCAATACTTATGTTTTACTAGACACTTATTAAATCACTAATTCAGTGAAATGGGTCTGTGTACACTGCACAATGCCTGTGGCTCATGTTTATTGGACTAAATAATGTCATAAATTGAGTTAAAATCTCGTTTTCTATTTTAGAGTTTTCTTGTTTATTTATTGTTATTACTAGTATTCAAACTAATAATGTTATTATTATAATTAAAATTATTATCATTAATATCATCGTTATAATTCTGATACTCCTAGAACTGAAAGTATTCTGGCTGCTACTTGTTTACTGATCATCATATTTGCTTTCTGTGGATTCCTAACTTACAGATGTGAGAGGATTATTATTAACTTAAGAAAGGTAAAAACTACTTTTTTAAATCGCTTTTTGCACTTTTGCGCCAAATCTTAAATAAGAGAGAGTTGAGAAGAACATTTATAGTTGTTTTTAATCAAAGGAACTGAAGTCGTCAAACGCTAATTTGCTAATCTATATATCTTTGCATCCTGATGGTATTTCAAACTTTGACTATTTCATTTATCAAAATTCATCAGTTTGCATAAATATATCAGAAAGTTAGAGTTTTATGAGAGAAATAAGTTTTTTTTTGTATTTAGCGCATTAAAGGACAGTATGACACGCTTTACTCTTAATCTGATGTTTATCATGCAAACAAGACACAAAATATGCGTAAACAAGACACAAAATATGCGTAAACAAGACACAAAATATGCGTAAACAAGACACAAAATGTGCGTAAACAAAACTCAAAATGTGCGTAAACAGTACACAAAATATGCGTAAACGATACACAAAATATGCGTAAACAATACACAAAATATATGTAAACAATACACAAAATATGCGTTAAGCCATATTTAATGCAGATTATTGAAATGTTGTTAATAAGCAATTTTCGCAAAAAGGCGTTTTGTTCAACGGTACCCGGATTTTGAGCCTGAAACTTTAACTTTTGATTTTTGAGAATCTACTAAACCAACTAACTAGAATTGTTTGAAAAATGCATAAGTTATTGTAATTAGCAGTGGAATTAGAGACGTTATTTAGTAAGTTCAGCTTACAAAATATGTAAAGAGCTACATTTGAACCATAACAAGAGAAATACTAGGTCTATAATTAGATATTAGGTACTTTCCTAAAGAGTTTTTTCCAAGCGGCAACTTCCCAAGTCTGTCCTAGCCGCAGAGCTCGGCCCCTACCCATTCAAGCCGCAGTGCTCGGCCCACTGGTGTAGCTAACCTAACCTTTAGTAAGTTACCGCTTGGGAAATGGTACATTTGGGAAGTTGACACTTGGGAAATTGTCACTTGGAAAGTCGCACTTGGGAAAATGCCTGTGGTAACAACATCTAAAAGAAATTGAGTCTTTGTCACAAACTCAAATTTTCTAATCCCTATATCTTTGCAACTTGATGGAGAAAAACTTTGATATTTCAAACTTAGATTTTTTGATCTAACAGAATTCATAGCTTGAAATATCTAAGGTCTACAACATTGGGTTGCTAAGAAAAAGGGATTAGAAAATCAGAGTTTGTGGCAAAAACTCAAATCCTTTCTCTGTTACTGGTAAAGTACTGTGTTACAAGAATTTAGTATTTTGACTTTAGATCGTTTTTAAACAAATCCCAACCCTACTCTCTAGTCTCTAGCACTAGAATTATATCATTTTCTTCTCAATATATCATCAGGAGTTCGTCCTTACTCCTTTAAAGAGTATTGAATGAGTATTTTGAAGAGTATTTTGAAGAGTATTTTGAGTTCAGGCTTCTAAAGAATTGCTAGTTTTCTATAGTTTATAATTTATTAGACTTAAATCATTCAAACCAATTTAGGGAAAGAAATATTTGCGCCTTTTTCCTCTTATTTCACACTGCTATAAATAAAAATTAAATATATTATTCATAAATTTCAATTCTTTGTTTTTGTCAACATGGAAAATATTTTGAAATTTACATTTTAAATGTGTCTGCGAGGGCCGAGGGACAAAATAATGGGAATGTGGAAATTGTATGAATACAGTGATAACCAAAAATCAGAGGAATTGAATGAAATTTCGGTCATACTCTATAAGCGCTACACTCATAAAACGCTCAATAGGTAAAACGCTAGCCCGTAAAACGCTACACTTATAAAACGCTACCAGATAAAACGCTGCGCTAGTAAAGAAAAAACGCTGCTCTATCAAATTATCATAATTGGTTAATTCGACAAAAACATGAATAATAACTGATAAGAGTAGCGTTTTTTCTTTCCTAGCGTTTCATCTGGTAGCGTTTTATCTGTGTAGCGTTTTATGAGTGTAGCGTTTTATGAGTGTAGCGTTTTTAGAAGTATACACTGAAATTTCGCTACTGCTTTTGTAATTTGCAACTTAACATTTTTTAAAACGGGTCCTAAACATATTTTTATATATCAATTGCAGCAAGGTATATAACAAATTCCTTAATTTCTGAAGGAAAAGAAAGAACTAAAATGACATTTATGTCACTGGTTTCTCAGGTATGGGCAATAGCTAGATTCGTTTTACACAAACTTTTATTATTGTTTATAGACTTATATAAGGTTTTACGACAATCTGCAAGAAGGGTTCAACGGTTTAAAATGGTATTCTGTAGAAGTTTGATTTTATCAAACATGCTTTGTTATCCTAGGTGAAAATATAAGGCAAAAACGAACCAACAACTATCGTTTAAAAACCCCAAAATTGCATACGACATTTTTGTCTTTATGTGAAATCTTGTGAATTAAAACATAAATGATTAAATAAAGAGTATAAAGGCAGTAATTATTCTCTCTCATCCCCCCCCCTCTCTTCACTAACCCCTCACTCAATCCTTCCCCTAGATATTTTGTCCCAAAATGTTGTTGAATACTTGAACCAAATTAAATCTGGAATATTTTGCCCACGTCCGCCATTTTAAAATCTCCAAGGCGTGCTTAATTCTCTGAAGGGAAAATTCACTCAACTTTTCATCTCATTTATTTCTTCATAAAAACAGACAATTATGCCATCATTAGTTTCTGTATATTCATTGTAAAGGGACTGTTCACGGTATATTCAAATGGTGCTCAACAATTAAAGAATAATATATATATATATATATATATGCACCTGATTCGCAACGGTTCCCTTTTATCAGAGCAACGATGGAGAAGATGGAGAAGAGTTTGTCTTTAAGCTTTGTGAAGAAACAATCTCAATAACTGACGAGGGTCAACCCAGACCGAAATATATTTTCAATAAATGTGGAACTAACATCTACTTTTTTACTCTACAGAGGTTTGGTCCATCACCATCACCAAATTTGAAAGATATCGTTGCTTTCTGTAAATTACGGTCTATGTCTCTGCTGCTTTAAATCCGCAAGACATTTTTAAAATAAAAAATGTCGGTAGACGAGGGTTTAATTGTAACCGATGTGAATCAGAAATACCCCCTATTTATAATATTCCAATGATACTATAATTAGGATTGTCTCTCTTATATAATACAATGAGACATAGAATATGTTTAGGATTGTCTCTGTTATATAATCCAATGATACTATGTTTAGGATTGTCTCTGTTATATAATGCAATGATACTATGTTTAAGATTGTCTTTGCCATATGTTTAAGTGATATTATGTTCAGGATTGTCTCTGTTATATAATACAATGGTAATATGTTCAGAATTCTGTTATATATTCCAATGATACTATGTTTAGGATTGTCGCTGTTATATTATACATTGATACAATGTTTAGAATTGTTTCTGCTATAAAATCTAGCGATACTATGTATGTTTAGGAATGTCTATGCTATATATTCCAATGATACTATGTTCAGGAATGTCTATGCTAAAATACAATGATACTATGTTTAGGAATGTCTATGCTATAATACAATGATACTATGCTTAGGAATGCCTATGCTATAATACAATGATTCTATGTTTAGGAATGTCTATGCTATATTCCAAGGATTCTATGTTTAGGAATGTCTATGCTATAATAAAATGATTCTATGTTTAGGAATGTCTATGCTATAGTACAATGATTCTATGTTTAGGAATGTCTATACTATATTCCAATGATACTATGTTTAGGAATGTCTATACTTTATTCCAATGATTCTATGTTTAGGAATTTCCATGCTATATTTCCAAGGATACAATGTTTAGGATTGTCTCTGTTGTAAACAGTTAAAGAGTAGGTGTGGAGTCTCCGTGCAAACAGGTAAATTAAAATAATGCAACTTTCAACATTTGTTGTACTTTTTCTTTATAAACTTATAGAATAATCTAGTATTGACAGTTTTTGCACCCCCCCCCCCCCCCCCAAAAAATGCTGACAGCGTCAAATTGGCTTTTTATAATTAAGAAAAAAGAAAATATCAATATCTGCCCCAGCTCAGAATCTGTTATTGTATGATCTCTCTTCCTGAATGAACATGCATCAGAGCTAAAAGTTTTTAAACCAATTCCTAAGCTCTCTTATACCCTCTATAGCATTACAGCACATCTTTGATCATGAAAGAAGGGTTTTCATCGAAATTTTCGTTGAACGAAATTCGTAAAAATGAATGATCGAAATTCGTTCATTTTCGATCAAAATTTTCGCGAATTTAGATGTATTTTGACAAAATTTTCGACCCCATTTTCGCGAAAATTTCGTTCATTTTTGCGAATTTTTTTTCAAATTTCGGTCTATAAAAATTGTAATTTTTCCATTTGGGTTTCCCAAACAACATGATTAGAATGACAATTTTATTTAAATTTGATTACACATCTCTCATCTATTGATATGCCTAAATATTGTCTTCCTACGTGATCAGGTTTATGTGTCTCACTGTCGATCTTTAACCATTTAAATGTTATCTCACATCATATGCGCCTGAATTAATATGTGCATTGTGTCTAGTATCTCATGTTTTGTATGTACCTGAATTTTTACGCATTCTGCCATGTATCTCTCTCATTGTATAAGCATCTGTTTTCCGTATTCTGCCCTTGTATCTATTATTAGTTGGGCCTGAATTAATACCCTGTATAAAATGAGTTGGGCGACTCAGAGATAAGAGAGTAACAGAGATCAATTGCAACTTATGATATGCGATATTTTCCACAGCAGAATCTATTGTGTACAAGTACTGTACACTTTAAGTTGTAAAACTCAACCCTTGAATGGTTATTATATGCAACAAGTGGCAATTAGATGGCAGTCAAAAAACCTTTCATGGAACTGTAGCATGAAGTGCCAGGACACTATAGGCCTGCATAGCCTACCCAGGTAGAGCAAATGAGCATTCTGGTTGGTCTGTGGGTCAACTCTACACCAGTTAGCCTAAACTAAACAGTACAACAGACTGAAAATACAGTATGATTTGCTGAACCAGCATGGAATATGGAACTTTTAGACTGGGGTGTCCTATCTTTCTTACTGTATGTACTTAAATTTATGCGCATTCTTCCCCATGTATTTTATATTGTATGTGCTTGAAACTATGCCCCGTATCTTTCTTATTATATGCACTTGCATTTTGCGCATTATGCCCCGCATATTTCACTTGAATTATGCACATTATGCTCCGTATATTTCTTATCGTCTACACTTGAATTGTGTCCTTTATGCTCCGTATATTTCTTATGGTCTACACTTGAATTATTCACATTATGCTCCATATATTTCTTATTGTCTACACTTGAATTTATGCGCATTATGCCCCATATATTTCTTATTGTATCCACTTCAATTATGCGCATTATGCCCCGTATATTTCTTATTGTACGTATACACTTGAGTTATGCGCATTATGGTCTGTATATTTCTTATTGTCTACTCTTGAATTATGCGCATTATGCTCCATATATTTCTTATTGTATATACTTGAATTATGCGCATTATGCTCCGAATATTTCTTATTGTCTACACTTGACTATATAGGCATTATGCCCCGTATAATTCTTATTGTCTTCACTTGAATTATGCCGCATTAAGTACCGAATATTTCTTATAGTCTACACTTGAATTATCATTATAATCAAATATTTCTTATTGTCTACACTTGAATTATGCGCATTAAGTACCAAATATTTCTTATTGTCTACACTTGAATTTATACGTATTATAATCAAATATTTCTTATTGTCTACACTTCACTATATATACGCAATACGCATTATGCCCGTATAATTCTTATTGTCTTAACTTAAATTTATGCGCATTATGCCCCGTATATTTCTTATTGTCTACACTTGATCGAGTTATGAGCATTATGTCCCGTACATTTCTTATTGTCTACACTTGAATTATGCGCATTATGCCCCGTATATTTCTTATTTCTGCACACTCTGCTGTATATATTTCTTGTTGTATCCATCGAAGAAGTAAAGAAGTTGAGTGAAGGTTTTTTGAGAAGAGATAGATGGATAGGGTTGATAGAATATTATGATAAATAGATAGATAGACATGAGGGATGTACATTGTACTATGAAAAGGTAAAAAATACAATGGAACTAAAGTTGCGCAGCAGAGTCCAAGATTAGATTATACTATATCTCCTTAATATTTTCATGCATAATAAGATATATATACTCTCAATTCTGCAGATCATTGTGAAACAGTATATACAGCTGGTGAACCTTACTATCTTTACATTGCTTAGGGGTTAGAATACAGTGGGACCCGTAAAACTGTAAAATAGAAATACGACTGTCAGACTAAACTATGATTTGGAATAGTCCAATAAACATGAAACACAATGTGCAGTGTACACAGATATATTTTTATAAGTTAGTTGTATTTTTAAGATAATAGTAAAGCTATTTGATTTACAACTAGATAAATACATACAAGATTATTTAAATGTCGTCTTCCTATTTCACTGTTTTTAAGTCCTGCTGTATATTGGGAATTGTAATTTTTGATGATGGGTGAGAGAGAGAGTGTGGTGGAGAAGATTGTTCATGAAAAAAATATCCCTCTGAAAGTTCCATGTGTTGTATTTAGGTCTGTAAAATGAAAACAGATTAGTACTATAACTCTGTGAATGAGAATTCAAGTTGAAAGTTATTCCTAACTTCTGATACAACTTGGAGATTTGAATTTCAGAGTAGAGTGTGTTCAATAATTATTTTCATTTGCTTTTTTAATTAAACTCATTGAAACATAATTATAAACTTTATTGATCACCCAGCTTTGTCTGAAAACCAAACTGTCTCTATTTAGTTCAACCCACTTAATTTAGAATTTTCAAACCAAAAAAATTCCCGTTGGTCTACCGAGTTCCCAATTCAAAATTACATATAAAAAAAAAAAACAGAGATTACTACTTTATATAATAAAGATTCCTTTGATATCACTTTCGGTGGAAGATTAGTTTTATAAACTCCGTAAACTAAATGTTTAAATATCTCTGAAACACTCCCTGGATGGATTGTTGTTTTAAACCTTCAGACTTTACAATCCACCTCATTAGCATTAGACACTAGACACTAGACAGGGTTTAATCATAACCTTATTAGACACTAGACACTAGACAAGGTTTAATCATAAACTTATTAGACACTAGGCACTAGACAGGGTTTAATCATAACCTTATTAGACACTAGACACTAGACAGGGTTTAATCATAAACTTATAAGACACTAGACACTAGACAGGGTTTAATCATAAACTTATTAGACACTAGACACTAGACAGGGTTTCATAACCTTATTAGACACTAGACACTAGACCGGGTTTAATCATAAACTTATTAGACACTAAACACTAGACCGGGTTTAATCATAAACTTATTAGACACTAGACACTAGACAGGGTTTCATAAACTTATTAGACACTAAACACTATACAGGGTTTAATCATAAACTTATTAGACACTAGAAACTAGACAGGGTTTCATAAACTTATTAGACACTAGACACTAGACAGGGTTTCAGAAACTTCTTAGACACTAGACACTAGACAGGGTTTAATTATAAACTTATTAGACTCTAGACACTAGACAGGGTTTAATCATAAACTTATTAGACACTAGACACTAGACAGGGTTTAATCATAACCTTATTAGACACTAGACACTAGACAGGGTTTAATCATAAACTTATTAGACACTAGACACTAGACAGGTTTAATCATAAACTTATTAGACACTATACACTAGACAGGGGTTTAATCATAAACTTATTAGACACTAGACAGGTTTAATCATAAACTTATTAGCCACTAGACACTAGACAGGGTTTAATCATAAACTTGAACAAACGAATTTACTAAATGTTCGTTGAGTGAGAAACCAAAGAAAAAAGATGGAAAATTAACGGGAATTTTTTGGATTGATAAAAAAACGAGATGGGTCGTTCACAAACGATGAACGGACAAAATGAAAAAACGAACGCGCCCATATTTGGATTATTGTTTAGAGTTTGAGAACTTGCCTGAAGGAGTGAGGGAGTGTGCTGAACCCCTGTATCCTGGGGGGTTTAATAATTTTACAACTACAAACCATACCTCATTCTTTAACAAGGTATACTCAGTACTCACACAACATTATTAGTGTATTTCTTCATAAATATTGTTTATGTTATTTAAGAAATAGATTTAAAATACCTCAACAGCTTTTAATCTATATGTATTTAACTTGTCTGTATGATCATGATGGTATATTACCCAAAAAAAAGATCAGGACCAAATTTTTTGTGGTAACTTTCTTGACCTCATTTAAAACATCTATTTTAAAATTAAGGATTTGAATCTTTGCCTCAAACTCTAATTTTCTAATCCATGTCTATGCAACCCATATAAATACATCGGACCTTTTCTGTTAGATTAAATAATCTAAGTTTGAAACATACCTTCAGGTTGCAAAGATATAAAAATCAGAAAATTTGAGTTTGTACTTAAAAATCACTTACTTTATGGAAATCCGTCAATGTAAAAACAAAAATCCGCGAAATTTTCTATGATGCTTGAAAAGCAACACCTTAATTATCTTTTCGAAATATAGATAATTTCAATTGTTTAATGATATGAAAAAGTAAAAAGGACATACCAAAACAACATATCATTTATATTTGTCTAAAGCAAAATTACATTAAACAATATAAAAGGTTACAAACTAATAATCTTTTCTCTGGATATCGCATTTTATAATTGACGGGGTTTGCCAAAAAACAGGTATAATACAAGACGTTTAGCATGAGTATAGTTTAGCTATTCAGAGGTGGTTTTCAGAAATGGAGTTTCTTGGTCCCAGTCTAGTGTTTTTTGTTTTCTAAAAATGTGGTATGATGACAGTACTGCAAGGCTTGATAGATTTTCGCACATTGCTTTAAAACTAACACTGGGTTTGCAGAACTTATGCAGTTTCTTTAGATTCGCCTTATTTGATGGTGAGATATATCCTCTTGAGCCGATTTCAAAAGGGTGAACAGACACATCCCTAGTTGTTATATTTGTGATAAAATGTTCATACTTGTTCATCTTTTGAGCGTTGGCATTTTTGATATTTGTTTCTAATGGAACAGTAAGCTCAAAAATATCCATATTTTCCTCCATTTTATCGATAATTACTAGATCTGGTTTCTCTGTGGTCACAAGGAGGTGGGGGGAGGGGGAACAACAGTACCTCCCCTTGGAATATATTTATATACATATGATATTATATGACTTTTTTTTCAAAAATGGGAGAAGCTGAATATCCTATCCGTCTATATATTAAAGCTATTAAAAATTGTTAAAATAAAAAAAATTTAAATTGTAATATTTAGGTTGCTGAGAATGGTGTATCCGTGTCTCAGAGTGCAGATTATTTACTGCAGGATACTTGTAGCATAGATAAACTAGATCTGTTTGAGTCGAGAAGCTACAACGGAAATATTGTATGAAAAATTATATTTTTCGTTTTCAAGATACAGTGGGGCGTAATAATAAAGTTTAAAAAATGAAGACATTAAAATCTGTAAATAGAAATAATGAAACAATATTATTCGTGGAAGGTTTTGCTAGTTTGTAGAAGTTGAATATTTGATAAGAATTTGTTCGTAATTAGGAACTATTGCAACTGGTGAAAGCGTTTAATAAATATGAGGACTTTTTTAAAATTATGAACATTTTTTCAAAATTATGAACATTATTTCTAAATTATGAACATTTTTCAAAATTATAAATTTTTTTAAGTAGGAAAATTTTTTTCAGAATTATTGACATTTTTTCAAAATTATGCATGTTTTGTAAAATTATGAAATTTTTTTTAAAATTTTGATCATTCTTTCAAAATTATGAAAATTTTTTCAAAATTATGATTATTTTTTCAAAATTATGAACATTTTTCAAAATAATGAACATATTTTTTTCAAAATTATGAACATTTTTCCGAAATTATAAACATTTTTTGAAACTACGAGCATTTTTTTTTGAAATTATGAACGTTCTTTTTTAAATTTTGGACATTAATTTGTTATGAAAAGTTTTTCGAAATTCAAATTCATGCTCAGTTGAAAGTATATATTAAAATAGCAGTGTTATCAAAAATTAATCGTGTTATACGTTTTTATTATCATCGGAATCCACCGTTTCAAAAAGTTGTTTAAAGTATAATTTGTATACTTTGTTTCTATTGATGAATTTTAAAAGTTACCGAAAAAACTTTGGGGGAGGGGGTCGGAGGGTTGATCCTAAACGACTAAATCTACATATATATCCAAGGTCCATATTGCCTGACTATTCAAGACTAGGTCGACTTTCAAGTGTCGCAACGCCTCGGTCTTTGATTTTGACCTCAATAACAAGCTCATACATTTATCTAGCGCTTAGACGTACTTCTTTTAAACTTATCATAAACCTGGATCAACAGATTAAATTAGACTTTAAAGGAACCAAAGACGTTATTTCAAATGGCCCTTCATTGAAAGAGAGTGACCGGCAATGTATGGTGGTTGAACTGAGTATGTAGTATTGTGGAAATTTTTTTTTAGGATTCTTTTGAGACATATAAAACGTTTCTACGACGTATATTCACTGAGTTTGAGCGCAAAGTCGACGTTCAAACTCATAATTTCGGGTAGGTACGTTTTCAGAATCGATTTCAAAAAATCATTTTACAGTAAACTAATTAGTTGTTTAGCAACAGGTTGAGAAAATAAAAATTAACTCTTATCATTGAAAATAAGTAATCTTATTCAATTATTAGCTTCTGTAATCTATCATTATTCACAAAGATTTTCTGGAATTTGTATTGAAAAGACGACAATCGAAAAATTTCTAGAAATATGGGAACAAATTCGTAGAAAATAAGAAAATCAATAAATAATGAAAACAAAATAATTGATTCTAACATTGATTTATTGATCAATTTCTTTTGAGAAATATGTTTCTCACCATCTAATTAGATTACTGTATAATTTTTAATTTATTTTTGGTCGTCGTTATTTAATAATTTCAAAAAATCCGATTCTGAAATTGTGACCACCCAAAGTAATGATTTTGAACGTCGACTTTGCGCTCAAACTCAGTAATTATACATCGTGGACACGTTTTATATTTCTAAGATATAACCTAAACAATTTCCTACAATACTGCAAACTCAGTTGAACCCCCATAGAGTGCCGGTCACTCCCTTTAAAAAGAGGTGCATGTCCGATTCACTATTGTACACTTTGAACCATTTTGTCTGATTAAAATGGTGGATTTATCGCTGTGTTTTCTTTCAAATCTTGATTAATTTCAAAAAATGACTTGTGAATTTGAGAATGTACCTTATTCAGAAATACATATAATTGAAAGGCATATAATTGAAATAGATCGACAGCTCCATTAAAAAAAAATCAGAATTCTGTTTAGGTGTCTGTTTTTTGTCTGATCATAACTAAGGGACCCCTGGACCGATTTTCCTCAAATTTTTATTGGGGAAGTCGGTACCCCACGGAAATGTTCTTAGCTTGAGATTTCAAGCTGAGTGAGTCGACTTTAATAGCGAAATTGTTCAAGTGCCGGTAAACGACGGGAGCAACTGTTAGTAACCTGAACAACGCTGGGCAAGCTAGTTTTGAAAATAAAAAAGATATTTCAAATACGTGTTTCATCACTTTTCTTCTATAATTTTTTTTTTTTTTTTTTTTTAAATATAAATGTTCTATAAGGTGTTTATAATACAGCAAAAAAGTCAAAGTATGAAAAAGAAAATGGATTTTGTTGGATTTGTTTATTTTCTTCAAGTTTCTCATTCTTAAATATTTGTAAAGCCTAAAAATGTGTTTTAAAGTGTGTTATGAAATAAACATAAATGTAGAATAAACTTCTATTTAGTTTCCACAAAACCCAGCTTAAACATTGGGATAAAATAGAGTGAGAGAAAGATAAACAAATATTCTGATTTAAAGAGAATGTTATCGAAAATTTAACCTTCAAATTGCTAAAGTATAAATTTTAACTTCAGGTATATCATCACCATTCTCTTTTTTAATGCAAATTTCTATGTACGAGTTTTTACTTTAGAAATGATTTAAAGTGTTCCTAGCTTGAAACTTTAGAATAGTGTATATCGAGATCAATGCTTGATCCTCTCTTTTTCTTAATATCGAGACTAACATAGAATCTTGTACTTGTATCCTAAAAAGTGTATAAAATTCAACCAATCAGAGTCTCGTTTATGAAACCGATAAATTTAAAATTTTGCGCGCCATTTATTTAAAGTTCTTTCATTTAATCAAGATTAATTAATATACAGAGACGGGAGCCTGGGAGTGTCTCTCTAATTTTGATTCCTCCGCACTTTATCAAAATAAGAGTTTTACTTTTTTAAGTTTAAGAATGAAGCTTGTATATGAGTAAAGTAAAAAAGAAGGAGAGAAAGACCTCAAATCCAGAGTTTGATGATGGTTTTTGTTCATGTTTGATTAAAAATTCATGGACAATAAAAATGAGTTGACATGATGAGGCATTATTCCAAATTCTACAGTACAAACATTTTTCCCGTTCTTCCGTATAATTAAAATTCTTGAAAGAATATTCAGAATAGATTGCGGCATGTATTATAATAAAGCTCTTTGGCAGTAATACTAATATTCACAAACTTGCTCTTAAATTAGTTGTTTGTGATAGTTCAGGGAGTCTAAAACTAAGGAACGAAAATGTACGACTTAAATGTTAAGTTTCAGCTTAAATACCACTTCTGGCTTAATTTAAACCTGAATTTTAACCCTGGGATTAAATTTTGAAATCCCGCATTTTCCCTATTTGTCTATCAATCAATCATCATTAATAGAGAAAACGGCATTCAACTTCACGATATTTTTAAAAGTGAAAACCTTGATTGAATAAATTTCACGTTTTAGTTTAATCAATCTTTGCAAACCCAAAAACTGCAGAAATATGTTTTGTTTCGGTTACATAAATAATCTAAAATTAAAAGACAGTTGAGTGGTTACGTAATTTATCTCTCGCGTAGATTCTTTTCTCTGATTGGTTCAGATTTGTCCCGGGAAATTCAAATTTTCCTTCAGGGTTAAATTGAGAGTTTAATATTTCAGTAGCAACTCATTATTTTACAGAACTTTTAAGCTATAACTTAAATTTCGCGCATCCTTTAGTTTTAGGCTCTGGTTATTAAAGTAGTTAGGTGGTCCTCTATTTAAAAAGGACAATGCCCGATTTATCTGATCAAAAACGTGGAAGATATCGTCGTTTATGAGCTTGAAAAATGTAGCATGAAAGATAAATGGATGAACATTCAGTCTTGATCTGACAACGCTGGTAACGATGTAAATCGGACATGACACTCTCTAGTAATTCTATGGGAAAGAAATGCAAAAGTCTTTGCACAACCATTCGCAAAAGTCATTTCGTCCAAAATTATACAAATTATCATTTACGCAAATATGCTCTGTGTAATTAATGTGTTTTTCTTAATATTTTCCAAATTCATAGAATACTGAGTAGATGAAAATAGAAATTCTCTTGCAAATATCGATTGGAATTTTTCCCAATACTTCTTGAAAACTAAAGCTGAAAACAAGTGCTTAACCCTATTTAGCCTGAACCCCCCCCCTATTTTCTTATAATGTTGCAAATCTATAATATTTGATACGTTTTTGGAATGCTCTTGGGCTCTGCTTCAATAATCAGCAAAAAAATGACAAATTTGCACAAATTTAAATATTAATTGCGAAATCTAGAAAAAAAGTGCAAAGAAAATTGCACAAATTGCTGCAAATCATAAAAAATTTTGAAAGCCCTTGACCCAGCGAATTCAAATAAGCAAAATTTTAAAACCTAAGTGTTTTTTAATGAAAAACTGAAAATGTCCAAATTCCCTTTGAAGGCGTTTATGCAAAAGTCTGTGCAAAATTTCCTTTCAAAAATGTTGCAATCTGCTTGCTTCGTAGAGCTATACAATTTTGTAATCCAATGACTGGAAATAGGTCTAAATATAGATTTAGTCTGATATAGGTAAAATGAGGCATTTAGGCAGTGCCTGAGGAGTGAGGACTCAGGTAGTTGGTATAAAAGACAATAGGACAAGCTATTGCGGTTCCCAAACTGAAATCTACTCAGAAAATATAAATTGATATTTAAAGAAATTGCCAAGCAAAAAACGACCTTACCTTTAAGAAGTGATAATCTCTGTTTGTCTGTTAGTCAGTATGTCCGACCATAAATCATGAACCCTCTGACTGATTTGCCTCAATTTTGATTGGAATTGAGATTCTTATTTCAGTAAGTCCACTTTTATAGGGAAAAATAGCTAAAAGCTTAAGTTAAGACCAAGCCCATGGAAATAACTAAGAGTACCCTGGGCAACGCTGGGTTTCCAAGCTTACAGTAAGTAATATATGAAGTTCCTGTGCAAAAAGCTTCTTTAATATTTATATTGTTTTTCTCCCTGAAAAAATGTGAATAAAATGTTTAAAAGCTTAATAATAAATGTTTGATAAATATTTGCGACAAAATGGCGAAATATGAGCACAATAAACATATTTTGTTTACATAAGAATTTACTAAATATTTAAATTAAATTTTAGAAATTTCTGACCATCAAGGGTGGAACTTTATAAATGAGAGAGAGATAAGGTTTAATCTTCTAAACTGATCCCGACAGGGGGACCTTGCGCGGTTAATCACTAACAAACTTTA